TTTTTTTTTTTTTTTTCCTTTTTTTGGTTGGCCTTTTTTCCCAATATGAACACCTCTCCCCTACCCCTTGCACACCTGACGCTGTCCTCAAAGTTACAGTTATAGCTGTCCTCAAAGTTACAGGCCAGGAACAGGGCCTTTTGTGAGGAGAGGCAGCAAATTTCCTAGAAACTGCCTTGGAGGGAGCAGCAGACTGGAGCTGGATCTACCTGTACAGAAGCATGTGGGTAGGTGGGGCTGTTGGAAGGAGGTGCTTTGTACAACTTGTATTTTGTCACTGATCAATTTTTAGAAATAAAGCATGTGTTAAAAAGAAAGTGAAACACGGACTAGAGAGACAGCTCAGTGGTTGAGAGTACATTCTGTTCTTGCAGACGACCCAGGTTTGGCTCTCAGCACCCATATAGGGTAGCTCACAACCATCTGTAGCTCTGGTTTTAGGGGATGCCAGGCTTTCTTCTGATCTCCACGGACAAATGCATTTACCTGCACATCCCATACAGACACACACGCATAGTCATAATTAAAAATAAATCTTAAAAGAAAGAAAGTGAAGTGAGGAGGGGGAGGTAGCTCAGTGGGTAAAGTGCATGCCGTGTAAGAATGAGGACCTGAGTTCAAATCCTCAGCATCCACCTAAAAAGCTGGGTGTAGCAACACACACCTATAATCCTAGTGTTGGGAAGTAGAGACAGGAGGATTCTCTGGGTTTGCTGACCAGCCAGCCTAACTGAATCTGTGAGCTCCAGCTTCAGTGAGACACTGTCTGCAAAAAGGTAGCAAGGGATACAGGAAGACACCTGGCGTCAACCTCTGGCTTTTGTGCAGGTAGTCACAATCACATATGCACCCCCATCTTCCTCCAAAAAACCCCAAACCAAACCAAACCAAAAAAACTAAAAAGAAAAAGTGAAAAAAAAAAAATCAGTTCTCTCAAAATGAGTTGTGGTCTCCCCACCCCCAAGGCTAGTTCTCTCTGACCAGAACTCTCAGTAGAAGATAAACAAATACTTCTTCTAAATCCAATAATTAGGTCCATCTGATGAGTCCTGCATATGTACAAGCAACACAGGTCCAATATGGGGGTCGCCATAGGCAGCACAGAAGAGCCCAAGTGAACAAACCTTTACAATACCATCATCCACTCCTGTCCCCAGCTGCTGCTTAGAACCCAGAGACTCACAGCAAAGAGTAGGCACCAGGGATTGCATGACTTCTTCAGCTGAGACACTAAGTTTCCTCTGAAAGACCAGGAGGTGGGGCAGAGCCTTAGTATGATAAAGAATTTTATTGTAATTCTGGAAATAAAGAAGGCATTCACAGCAGTGCCCACAAACTCCTAACAGGAAACTACTCCTGATCATTTAGCAAAAGACCTCTAACAAACTATCCTCTTGCAGACATAGTTCCATTTATAAAAGCTGCACTGTTGTAATAATCAAAGACCCTCTGACCAATGTAATATTGTAGGTTCCTATTACAGAAGCAACTTCTTTCACAATTTAACATATAAAAAAAGTTCCACTGGTAACTCTCCATACATAGTGACCTTAGATTTGTATTGATAATGAATTTTTGCTTAAAAATACTAAAAATTATATTCAGTAACTCTCTTCCCTTCAGAGTACTTCTGAGCACCCTTATGCTGTGCTCTTGCTCTCTGGTGAAGGACATGGTGAGGGGTGCCTGCTGATTATTCAGCTTTCTGAGTAGGACTGTCTTCTCTCGAGTCTATCACACCACACCAAGTAAGTAGGAACAGAACAAGTAAGAAAATGAAAATTATAGCTGTTACTAAACTGGAGAAACCCTCATAGATGTTCAGCTGTAAGAGTTCTGCTCCCGTATTTACAAAATTTCTCATCACAACAAAGCAAGACTAGATATTTAGACTACACTGAATGGAGGCAAACGGGGGCAAACGGGAAGATGAAAGCAAACCTCACAATAATGCTATCCACTGTGCCGTAGGGGCTCTGGAGGAAAGGTAGGCTGATTCTAATCAGCAATCAGAAAGTATACTGCCTGTGAGAGAACCAACAGGCAGATGCTGTCCTGTGTGCTGGGGTTACAGGTCAGTGATAAAGTGTGTACTTAGCATGCATTGCTGGCATCACACACAAAAGCACTGTGGCTCTCAAATGCTCAGCACTGTTATAGTAGTGAGATTCCAGAACTAACATTCTGCCACACCTTCAAATAAAAGGGTCAGCGCAAACAGTGGCTGGTCACTATTACTATTATACTTTATTTTTTGGAGTAAGGCTTTAAGTTGATAAAAATGATAATGCAGTCATACATATCCCACAAGCCAACTGGGAGAATCTGTACAGGCGACTGCACTGCTATCACTAAAGCTTGTAAATTCAGATACTGTTAGCACCCCAAAGTCGACCAGGTCTTTAAATTTCATCTTTTATTTCAATTATCTCCTGTATGTAGATTTGAATCTATCTCCCACATTGATAGTCCAGATCTTTCACTTCCTCCAAATTCTCTTAACATACCTAGCTACATCACTTGATTTTAGAAAATGACACTTGAGAGAGGTGTTCTGCTGGGTATTGAACCCAGGGATCCTTTAACCTCAACGAGGGATTTAAAAACAACAACGAAACAGAACACCGTCTTTTCAGCGAAGTCACTGAACTTGCACTTCATTGAAACCCCCTCCCCTGAAGAGCTGTGCACAGCGGGTGCACAGCAGGAACTTAAAGGCTTCTGGTAACTTTATATGAATTACAAACAAGTTCAGTTTAAACTGTATGCATCCTATAGGTTCTCTTGCAAAGCCTGCTACTCAGTGTGGCTCCTTCGGTGCACTGATTAAGCAAAAGCCCAACTATTCACTAATTTTTGTTTTTACCCAACAGGTCTTTTGCCCTCTGAAGGAGCCCATGACTGCATTCCCCAAACAGCCAATCTATCTTTACCCTGCAGCTGTTGCCTAGGTAACCAATCCAGCCAAATAAAAGATTTATACACAATAGAAAAAAAAAAAAAAAAAAAAAAAAAAAACCAAAATAGAATAAAATGAAATAAAGAGAAGCCATATCCCCAGAGCTTCACAGGAGCTCACCTGTGTATCATCACATGAAAGGGAAGGTCATGAGTCCTGCCCCACTAAGTACAGATCTTAACCATAATGGCTTTTGACACTCATCACCTATAGATTTAGATGCCTTGAAATGACTTGGCACAGCCAGGCTGAGCATGTCTGCTGCCACATTGAGCATGGTTACGA